AAATTCCAGTTATTTAATGACTTTCCCTCGTATATCAACTGTCAAGCAGTCACACTTTGGTCTCATTTCCAAATCCCTGCTCATCACGGCGCAGTACAATATACACAAAAGGAAGTCACTGCTAGGCGGAAGGTTGAATGTGTGGGGAATTCCCACATTAAATTATTAGGACTAGGCCTAAGTGCAATTACACTCATCGCCAAAAAGAGTCACACCGAGAAGGACTTGAGCGATCTTGATTAAATTTGGAAATTATACTCGTATCAGTGCGTCATGAAATTGATGCTAGTTTCAAGGTCGTAGGTTGAATATTTCCAGAGAAAACTTGTCAAACATCCCAATTTCAATTGGTTTCGGAAGGGTCGTACTTATCGCTCACAAAGGACATCTAGAAGGAGTTTATTAATGAAATGCAAAACAGGAATTTCTACAGATATTTAGTACCATGAAGCAAAAGTTTCAGTGTCATAGGATGAAGGGATGCAAGGAAAACTTGCCGAGCTAGCCGAACGTCCTGAGGGATGCGGGGAAAAGGGCGACTACACTGATCGGACCAGTTTCCTTCTCTGCTTCCCTCCATTCACTCAGCTTTGCTTCAATCATTTATTTTTCGTCTTAAAGGCCATGCCAGGACCACGTCCACAGAGGCAGTTTCACCAACTTCAGCAGTTCGATCGAGGTCGCTTAGTTGCCATGATGGAGGTAGGCCACAGCATCAGGTTGCGCATCGCCTAAGTGTAAACTGCCGTCCGGCGTTGATGGACTCGGTATCAGAACGGGACTACCCATGGTGCCATTACTCCTAGTCCGGGGCTAGCGTAAGGCTGCGGGTCCCTACTGGCCATAAAGTCCTGCATCTAAGAGGCTCTGGCTTAGCGAAGTTGGTCACAAGTGCCTTACATGAGCACCACCCCTGAGGTAGTCAGACATGTCGTCTAGACCGCAGTCCCAGCTAGATTGCACGCCGATACACAGTCCTAAAAGAAGTCCTTTGGCCCATGTTCGTGGTCCTACAATGACCTTAAAGACGAAAAATAAAAGATTGAAGCAAATCAGAGTGAATGGAGGGAAGCAGAAAATGAAACTGGCCCGATCAGTGTAGTCGCCCTTTTCCCCATGCCTCGGGACGTTCGGCTAGCTCGGAAAGTTTTCCCTGCATCCCTTCATCCTATGACCTTTTAACTTTGCTTCATGGTACTAAACATCTGTAGAAGTTCCTATTTTGCATTTCATTAATAAACTCCTTCTAGATGTTCTTTGTGGGCTATAAGTACACTCTTAAAAAATTACGAGCGTTTGGGGAGTAAAAAGTGAGCACACCGTGAGCTGTTCGAATTTACTCTCTTGTTACTCGTCAAATGCTCCCTTATCGCTTGTATTGAAGTGAACACCTTTCGCCAGGCCACTAGATGGAGGTAAGGGTCTCGCTTTTCGCACAGTACACAACAGTTCCCTTCCCTCTTTCCCTGGAATCGTCACTCGCAGGATTGTTTAGTACCTCGACATATGTCTCGCCTAGTCTCATTATAGGAATAAATCAACACTGACACTTCATCATTTGTTATCCACATATTTAAGAAATATTCATGGAGTCCAGGCCATAAACAAGCTGATATTCCTGTTAAGAACTCTTTTTGGAACATTTATGATTCATGATTGTGAACTTCATTCAATCATACCTCAATTAGATGAGATAATAAGGGACATATATCCCGGACGCTCTATGGAACCAATAAGAGGTGGTCCACCCTCTGACATGTACTGTAATCAGTACAGGCAGAGGTAGGTAACGAGAGCGAAAGCGATACACAGTATTTATGAGATTTTTCGCGCGTGCATGAAATCCCTATCATTTTCTGATGGAAGCGTTTTTACTCACGGAGGAGGAGAGCAATTTTATTCCTTGGTGATGGAGTAAATTCGCTCCTTTCCCAGAGGGAAAGGGGGGTGAAACTGGAGTTTGCTATTTTACTCTCCCTTTTTTGAGAAAAGTCGCTCCCCTTTTTCTAAGAGTGTACAACCTTTCCGACCCCATTTAAATCGGAATGTTTGACAAGTTTTCTCTGCAAATATTCAACATACGACCTTGAAACTAGCAACAATTCCATGACGCACTAATACGAGTATGATTACTAAATTTCATCAAGATCGTTTAAGTCCTTCTTGGTGTGCCTTTTTTTTGGCGATGAGTGTGGTATAGGCTTGGCCTACCAAAACTAGTACACAAAAACTAGTAAAGACCCATACAACTAGACACCGACATTAACATTTTCGCGACTGTTCCCATGAAATACAATGAAAGGAGTAAAGGACACTGCAAGGCGATGCAAGTTCCAAAAGAGAATTCCGCGCCGGCTTACACGCGTACTGCCCTGGCACTGTTGCCGACCAGATCAGGACACAAGGACAAATAGCAGGATATGAACATTCACAAAGGCGGCTGCCAAATATAGACATGACATCCAGGCCCTCTGGTGGATTCTGAACCACTGTTAGGCTGCACAGAGGTCACTCCTTCCAGGACCATAATTGCAGGACACAGAATTTATCCTAACTGGAGGGAGAGATCAACTCACACACGTCCTAAGTGTTGCCAAGGAACGCCTGCATATATTTTCCCAGATTGAGGCGGCAAGTGGGACAAGGAGTTGCTAACCCGCTACCTAGTGGTGGACGACCACCTCTTACCTTCCCATATTGTAACTGGCACTCCATCACATGTAGTAACAATAATCCCACTAGATGGTACCCATGTTCCCCGCACCCAATAGCTACAATTAGGTAACTGCCTTCCTCTTGACCGTGTTTCCTCTTTATATGGTGCAATTTAAAACAAAGACATGAAGAAGGCGTGAATTTCGATTCCAATATAAGGCTTGAGGAGTTAATGAATTTTGTCACATGATGGGCTTGAAGAAAGGTTATGGGCGCTACCACGCCCATATTGATTTCCAGACCTACATCTATTAACAACTTTTCAAAATTCTGGCAAAGGCTTTCACAAGCAATCATAATTATATTTTTTCCCTTTGTCTGTTTATAAAATACTCATGAACAATTTTCGCGAACATTGGAGGTGGCCATTGCCCTGCCTCTGGCTGATTCGAAATGAAATGACCCTCCCCTGAGTTTTCGAGAGCTCCAAGTTTAAGAGGTGAATCGGATATGCAGGGGGGTATTAGGTGCCTTACCCAATTGTGGCACATCATAAAGTAGCTAAATGGAGATGTGATGGTGGCACACAATCTAGTGAATGTGGTGGGCAACTAGCTTTCTTCCCTCAACGTACTTGGTGACCCACCAACTGCGTAATACTTGGGTCAATAGGGTAGATAAAGATTCAATGTTGGCACTATGGAAGTTTACTGATTACAAGGAAATAAATAAGTTCATAAACCATATTGAATTTCGGCACGAAAACATAGTTCTACTCCAAAAATTATACTATTATTAAATTCATCAAATGTGTTGGAACTCTACATATATCCTGTCCATAAAGACAGATCACAGCCCCAACTGGCCAGAAAATTATTTTTCCACTACAACCAATTCCAATAGTTATGCATGAGTTTGAAACTGTAGTGAGCATCTTCGAGAACTGTCCGCATCATTTCATAACTTCTAAATAAGCTTTGGCAGCCTTCAGTCACAGGTGTTTTGAAACATACCACTGGAAAGTCGTTCAGTTACCAACCAGTACAGTACAATACTTGAAAAGTTCCCCTGTGCCTAGATGGCGATTACAATAACACAATATTTTTTCTTACTTTCAGGTTCATACTTTCTGCTTCCACAAAATTGTTAAATATTTATCTGGTTGATTCGCTTGGCAATACAGACACCCTCAATAACAGTAGAATCAATACTGAAATATAGCTCGTAGTCAGCGAACAGCCTAGACAGCACCAATGATGCTGCGATGCGCTGGGGGGGGGGGGGCGGCAGCGCCTTCCACAACTCAATGGATTCTCAAAACTATTATTTCTTTCAAAACACATCTATGACGCATAGGGTCAATTTGCACTTCCATATGACATATCTGCACAAAAGGAAAATACAGTATGATCAGTATCTTACTCAAAATCATCTGGAATTTGCCACCAAAGAAGCCATACTTAAACTCCATTGGTTAACATTGGTCCAAAGGCGAGATACAAAACTCATGAGGCTATCACATTCATGTTCTCCTACAAGATCAGCAATTTTATACCATAGGTTTTATTTGTATTGATGAATGTGGACTTCGAACATTAAGTTTCATCATTTAATGACCTATGCTCAACTGCCACAGAATTCAATACATTTTTCAATTTTAACTTTTCAAAGGACAGTTGGATCCAGCTGATACTTGACAGAGGCTCAAGAGTCTACTTTTTCACTTACGCTAGATGGTGCTGTATCACAATAGAGGGCGCCGCTTTTGCCGGGTGACCGAAGGTGACTGAGGAACTTCGAGTCAAGAACATGCAGTATATTTCCATGATCTGAAACTTTCTCATGAAGACATATATGGTAAGCACATGAAAGAGCAGGCATTTGATTAAATATAATTCTGTCGTTTCAAATTATTGCGGCTGATCATCCATTGATCACCCAATAAGCATGACAATAATTCCATAAAATACATAAGTGTGCCCTGCAAGATTCTTGAGTGGACTTGACTTATACTTTTTTCTGTTCATCGCTTGAAATTTGCGACATGCAACATGGATCTAGATGGTCTTAAAATATTCTGAAGCCATCTCTCTGAAATTTTTAACTTCAAATTTTAGTTTGTGTTTACATATGCTAAATTGATCTTACAGTTGCTAGTTTCCTGATCTTATTAGCGCCGTTTCTCTTTAACCAAGATCAAAATCGTCACCATGAAATGGTTGTTAGTGTGTTCCTCTGATCCCTAAAGTTTTGCAACAACGTGAGTCCTAAAACATAGGATACTTTAAAATCCAAATGATCTGTCGTATGATCCATGTAAAGCATAATGATGGCGTAAGTAGGTATCATAGCTCTTCTCTGATGATTTTGATTAGTGTCTCTTTCTCGACCTGTGCTATTTGCTGGAACCATGTGACACGTGATTCATTGAAGGTGGGGGCACGGTTTTCAGATGTAGAGTTGAGGAAATCTTCCGCAAGAGTAAATACCATCATGAGTGGTCCGACGCTCTTCCGGTCCATCTTCCCCAAAATCTTACCATCGAAGCCCAAATCTTGTCCGACTTTTGACCATTCCCTTCCACCATTTAGCAGCGGCATCACCATGTTCCTAACGCTTTCTAAAGTTGGCAACCTACGAAGTAACGACACAAATGAATTTCCTTTGGCAAATAATGGAAGATGGGCATCTCTTTTTTTATTTATAGATTTCCACTCCACGGACGCAAGGTTTCAAGCGCGCTACAAACAAAATCTGGAATGTTAAGTAATATCAGGTTGTAAAGGTGAAATTTAGACATTTTCCAGAAAACAATTTATTGACAATTAACTCAACAACGACTAGAGTTCAGTCTTGACTAGAGTTCTGTTGTAGGACGAAATGTCTAAATTTCACCTTTACAACCTGATATAATTCTAAATATTGCTCCATATATTAGGTTTATAAATTCTGACTTACTGATTTCGTTCAAACCCCCTGTAGAAATCGCGCATCCGCCTTTCCATGTCTCTCCCTGTCAATGAAAATTCAAGAAGCATGGTATAAAGAATGAGATATTGTCTCATTTGATGGCGATGCAATCCTACTCAATGAGTATTCGCTGTATTTTAAAGTAAATGCAACTAGACTTTGAAACTGAAGGAGCTCCATACGGAAGAATTGTGCAATTGAAGACGGAAGGCAGACCTACTGTAAATTATGGCACACCCACCAGACTAATGCTGAAATACTCTTACATTGTTCACGAAGTCCTTCAGCAAAATCACGTTGCTCCTCAGCTAGCACCTCCAGGAAACGATTGAAATTTGTTGAATTGATCGTGGTCTCAAGTTTCCCAAGAATGAAAAGTATGCTGTCCTCGTCCCATCTTGATGCTGTGTAATCATCACCTCTTGGGAGAATATCGGACTGAAGGAGTCTACTTGCAACATCAGTGGAGATGAACCTCCTCAATTCATTTCGGTTCTGCTGGATGAGCCATCCTAATATCCTCGATGGTTCACCTCTCACCTCAGGATATATAATGCATACACGTATAAAAGGAAATGTTTTAGTATGCAACGAACAGGCGCTAAAAATATTACATTCCCCATCCATATGAATCATGAATAACAAAGATCAAGTTTTCAAATCCTCTGCTTAAAACAATTTCACGGGCAGCAAAAGGCAGATTTAGGATATCGTCAAAGCCACTTTGGCATTAACTTGCCCATAATGAGGGACGAGCTCTATTAGGCGTTTTTAGATTCAGAACATGCTTCAAGCTGTTAAATGGTTCCAGAACGCATAAAAAATTTTATTCCTGACAAATGCTCAACCAGAACACGCTCTCCTGATCACGTCGCGTTGAGACGCTGAGTTCCATTTTTTAATGCTTAATGGCAGAAAAAAGGCTTTTTTTAAACAACATTTTCAGTAGCATGAAAACTAAAAAAGCCTCATGAGTACCACAAATGTTGAAGCAACTCCACATGGAAATAGCATTGACGAGAAAGTAATCCAAACTCTTTTTAATGTGACATTAAAAAATATTAATGTTATTTTCATGACATGCTTTCACCTGGAGGAAATGCAGGTCTTAAAACATACATTTTCTGTCCTTATTGCATGACCAAAATGAGGTTTGCCCAACATAATGTGATTTTGGTCCTTAAGCCGAACTCATAGAACCATTTTTGTCATAAAGGGCATACTTTTGAAGAATCAAAAGTTACCTATTCTATTCAAATTTCAAAGGATTGAAAAGTTGGATAAGGCTGGACTATGTTAGGTTGTGTGACATTGATGTTCCTTTTGTTCCTCATGAATATCCATATTTGATGGAATTTGATGTCCCTTCAAAATACTTTCAACAATATTGGATGAAGAAAATTCATACCAGCAGGAAAAAATCAAAAGAAATAACTGTTCAAATTTTACATGAAGATGATTGCATTCTGAATGAAAATAAACTTGTGCATTTGGGAATAACACATTCACATTTTTCTCACATTCTTTCCATTTCTCCAAATGGTGAAATGGATGTACATGGAGATTACATACCCCTTGCAATTTATGCAAATGATGTACGAAATTTATCACCAGTCCCATCATGTAAAACATGAACATTGACTGGGCTTTTGAAAACCTGCAAAATTGGATGAAAGCTATATACAAAGAGGTCTAAAAAAAACACCATTTTTGGTTAGTTGTTAATCTGTATGTAGTCGATTTTTATGACACATGATGACAGGGTGATTTAATCATAGTTTGCTTGCGAAATTTCAAATAAGAGCACGAAAAACTGCGAGATTGGAATTTAATTTACACTTTATTGCCAAAAAAGCAAGTGTTCATTTTTTCCTTCAGCTTAACATCTTTCACAACTGACCAAAACAAAACAAGCAAACAAACAACAAAAAGGAATGCACAAAACGAAAAACCACAATTTGGTTCAGGGACGTTCATTTCAACTGAAAGGGTGCTCTCCATCCTGTTGTGCCTTTATTCTGGGAGCCCACAGATCAATGCCTCGGTCAATAAACCTTTGAGGTATTGCCTCCCAATTTTCCTTTTGTAGCATCATGCAGGGATGGAAGTTCATGAATTCGTACTTCCCTTTCATCCCAGTCTGAAGTTGGTATCGATAATTTCGACAGCACATTCTGACATTGGTCATCAGAAAATAAAAACACCCCCTTCAGAGTTAGGAGGCAGACATTTGGGATGCAAACTCAATTGTGTCACCCTATAAGTCTACCAATTTTAATTAAAATTGGCAGCCAACAAAGAGATTGACGACTCACCAAAAAGAAATCGATTCAAAGGGATAAATTTGGAAAATGTCTTTCATCAATGAATAAGGAATAGAATACATGTACTGATTGCAAACTGAAAATGGCCCGTGAACGAAGGCAACCTTTCTTCTGGTTTCCCAAAGACCTACAGCAGAAATCCAGAAATATTTCATCAAGAAAAATTGCGATACCCATGCAAATGTTTTCATCGAGGGGAGTCGTTAATATTGACTGGCTGAAATAGTCAAATTCAGAATATAAATTAGAGGGATCATTTGTCTGTAAGTTCTAGTTTTCTAAGAAGGAATCCCTTCTCCTTTTGAGAAACTCACCCGTGTCAAGGGTCTTAGCAAGATCACCATACTTTCTACGCCGAAGGACTCTCAGGAATTCATGGAATGCTTCATCCCTTCCTCGTAGCAGTTTCTCCAACAGGAACGTAACTTTTTCATCTTGGCTGGGGTTTCCACGAAAGAAATCAGTACCTTCTTGAAAAGAGAGTATGCCCATCTCTGCGAGGTCCCACATGATTTTTTCAATGTCGATGTAGGCGAATTTTTCTCGGTGATGAAGAAGAACTCTCTCGATATTCCTTTCCATGATTTGTCAAACAATTTGGTGGACCTCTGCTATATAGTAAGACGGAAAGCACCTGATATCATAAAAGGTTGATTGCTAATGCGAATGAATCATCGCATAAAACCATGAATTGATATACCCTAAAAGTGAGATCTTGTTTAGTCAGAAACAGCACGAGGGTTCAAGTATGGGTCTACTTTCCTGAGACCGCAGGACTCACAAGTATGATTATAAGGCAAAAGTAGGGCTGTACTAATAGCTACATATGGACATGTCTGATTATGATCTCACGCATATCGGCGGGTGTCTATGCCAGTGCCTGCTGAAACGTATTGTGAAACAGGAATTTTTTTCAAATTCAAACAGGCCGTCACATTTACTTTATTATGCCTGTCACACAGGGTGTCTCGAATGCACCAATGCATCGACCTGAAATATCGCCGGTGCGTCGATCTACTTGGGGGTAGGAGGGAGATGCCAGCGGATTCATTCTCATAACAAACTCGCTATGGTCGCGCCTTCGGCGCTCCATTACCTTCGATAGTGATAGTGATAAAACAACAATCATGATATTCTGTCCGGAAATACACCTTGCATAATCTGCTTAAGATTATTACGGCATTTTAATCATCATTTCAATTATTAAAATCGCCGTCAATGGCAATGCAAGAGTCAGTCAAAATAGGTCTAGGGATAACGGAATCATGTCTTTTAAAGAACTCCCAACCAGCCCCTGAAATAATAAGAAGCACTAACAGATGGCTGCAGGCTAACGTGAGGCACTGTAATAAACTGGTGACAGGACTAGTATCATGGCAAAACAATGATATATAGTCATTCCCACTAGTTATTCCCACAGCAACAACGTCGGTAGCTGACAATTACTCAAACTCTCATTGTTGGTTGCGAGTACTTCGCCGAAGAAGTCATTCAGAACGATGCCGTTCTTCCAACAGAAATTAGGCCCTATGTCATTAGAATGAAACAATATTTTGAGCTTCAAATATTGACTCCAAACTGGCATCTCCCTCCTCCTCCTAAGTGGATCGATGCACAGACGATATTTCAGGTCGATGCATTGGTGCATTCGACACACCGTGTGACAGGCATAATAAATTAAATGTGATGTCCTGTTTGAATTTGAAACAAATTCCTGTTTCGCAATACGTTACAATATGAACTGGCATACACACCCGCCGACAGGCGTGAGATCATAATCAGACATTGGCCATTTGTCCGGGCGTCGGATTAGAACGACGGGTCTCACTTATAAGCTGCGGAGCCGGACTTCAGGAAAATTTGCATACAGGCGAGAGAGGTGTCCCTAATTAAATAATCTGGTTCTGAGGTATGGGTCTAGTTCTGGGTCGGGTGCAGCGACGATTATTATAGGTCCGATAGAGTTTCAGCTTGGAAAAAGTCGAGCCGTGCAGGCCTCCGATGCGCATACTGACATGAGGGCGCATAGCAACAGCGTCCGCAGCGGACTTTTACGGACTTTCAACACAAGAAGTATTGCCTCGAGGCTATATGCTTTCCATTTACACCTCACTTTAAAATCCGTTCATCCGTCTAGGAAGAAATTCCTTGAATGACAGAACTGCACACTGACACACTTAACAGGTTATTTTCTTATACACAGGAATAAGGTGACAGGCAGAAGGGGCAGCGATTCACGCAGGCAAGAATGTTTACGATTTCAATATAACATACATGGTGACACAGGCCAAACCTAGCCCACTGTAATGGGAAGCTGAGCTGGAATCCTTTCTGACAAGTTTAGAATGGAGTTTACCTTCTCAGTTCGGTGTCTCACTCTGCCGATTCCGCGCCTACTGGAATATCACAAGTTGGATGGATGACAATTGCTAGGCCAGGGCGTCCTGGAATGCGTCAGACTCTACCGAGTCCCGCAACACGCCTCATCTTCATTCGCGTTCACTAACGAATGTGGAACGAGTTCACGCCTCTTCCACTGTCTCGATGACGCACTAGCGCGATGAATGCTTCGTATGTGGTGCCTAGGAAGAGGATAGCTGGGAGAGAAGTGAAAAAAGAATTCACTACTGAGGGAGTGGAGAGAGGGTTAAACGAGTATGATAGAGAGAAAGGATGTCGTTCCCTCGAAGGTCACGTCCTTACATCGTGAGCCAATGAGCGACGTCGCTGACAGGAAAATGAAGCATTCATTTCCTTTTCCTGCATCGCAGCAGAATATGTAGCAGCCTGGACAGGGGGTCGGTTCGAATATTTACTTCTCTATCTTCTGTTTTCTTTGAGGCCTTACGGAATCCCGCATGTCTGTCTCGTATCGATGATGTCAACATGGAAGAGAAGTTATATCCGCTTAGAAAGAATATCAATGGGCTTCGGTAGCGCCCATTACCTTTCTGTAACCCCTTCCGGCGACAAAATTCAAATCGGAGAGAATCAACAGGAACGAAACTTCTTTCTGTCTCAACACAGAATCGCTCCCGAAAATTAAAGTTACATCTCCCCAGGACTGTGGAGATCGCTGAATCTCGCTTTTCGATGTGAATTTCGTTCCGGTATTTTTTTTTCACCCCCCTTGGGTGGCAACACCTGGGATATTTTCAGAGAGAGTGAATTACCAAATGAAAGATATGAACTGAAGCTGATTAAAGTATTCTTTTTTTTCTTCCACTGTACCATTTCGCCATGAAAAAAGGAAATTAGACTAGTAGGTAGCCCGTGCAAAAGCACGGAAGAAATTAAAGACAAAGAATGAGAAGATGGCCGTAGGGGTCAATCGATAATGAAATCATTAATTTGGTCTCATTTAATCGCGACATATCATGATGCCAAGGAGAGAAAGCTGCAGAAAATATTAGGACAGAATGGGAAGAGGTTCCCACAACCCTTTCCCACTTTCCAAGAGGACCAACCAGTATAGATTCATTGTATTCCTTTTGATGATAACGGCTTCCTTTCCAATCATCCAAGAGGCATGCCACCCATATGGGTTTTGGGAAAACAGAGAGGGAAAGTTGAAGGACAAAGATACGGAAAGGAAGGACGACCCCGTTCTTCACATGTTCTGGATGGCTCGCGCGTCTGCGTCGCGTGGAGATGGGAATGCAGTATGAAGTGCAGGATGCCACGTGCGACGCGACGCGCGTACGCCTAGCAGCCCCGTCTACGTGGTCGCGAGCAGCCGCACTCTCAGTCTAATATGGATCCATCATCCGGAGGGATGGAATTGGATTTTTCAAACTGGACGAGGTACACCGGTTAAACGTATAGCGTGAGCGATCCTGACTGCTAGCTAGACCGAGGGACAGATGATTATGTGTGTGACAGCTCTACGGGCCAAACGCTTCGAGATGTGAACTTGACGTTTCAACAAAACTCTTCGTCGTCATCCGAGGATATGCTTTTTCGAAATAAAATGTTTCAAATCGTCCTCACGAAAGGGAGGGGAGGGAGGCAACTTTCACGGTAGCAGGTGATTCTCTCATGCCTCGCCATCTCTCGGATGAAGGAGGAGACGATAGTAGCCGTGGTTCTCGTAAGGGAATGTTGGCATCGCTCACTGCAGTGCCCTCTGCATGCTGCCGGGAATACAAGGATTTCAAGCGTCCATGATGAAATACAAGACGATTCACCAGTTCGTCGCTTTTTGCGTTCACACGGGCACCGCAAGGACGTACATCGCCGCAGTTTCCTCGTGGAGGTCCTTCCCTCATAATGCGCAACTTCGCATTATGAAGTGTAGTATTGTCACGGCTTACATCATGTTCGATCCTTTGCAGGCGCTCATGAGCAACGCAAATGGTAGCCGAGGAACACGAGAGTTCTTGAAAGGTTGTATGGGTTTCTTTTATGCCGCAGTTGTATTCATTGGTCAAACAATTAAAAGTATATTCTATGGTCCCGGGAGCTTGCAGGAAAAAAATAGTGGTTTGCGAATCGTGACTGTGCTTATTGCTGAATTTTCCCTGTCTTCCTCCATTCGTATGAGTACGATGCCAGCCGTTCATGTTTCTGAGATTGGGACTCACACATTCGGGTCCGTTGTTGATTGCAGTGGGAAATACTCTACCTCATGTTGGAAGGTGCACTCCACCTGGTATGCTGCTTACAAATCATAACCATATCTATAAATTTGTTTCTTCACTCCATGCGCACCATGCTCCATGGGCACCGTGGTCCATGGACGTGCTGAGGTGTCGCGAGGAATGATATGTGATCGCACATCGGGCGCTCCATTACCTTGGATAGTGAATAATTAATTCATTTTTGCGAAATGGGAAACACGTATTTAAAGTACGTCCCCATTGAAACACATGAAATATGGGATCGAAAGTCTTGATTTTATCAAACTCTTTACTTCTATGATTCTATGTGTGCCGAACTTTAAATATTTTCTTGTGTCCCTTTCAGTAAGAGTAGAGAATAAATTTTGAAATACTTCCCTCCAATAATGTACGCTAGGGAGACATTTTTAAAAGTATATTTTTTCCTGTACTCAGCCATTAACCATGTACTTTTGAGGGAAGTTTACATTTTCTGTCTCTGTTTCGTTGGATCAAGAACAGTTCAGGTAAACGGGACTAAAATAAAGAGCCCAGATGGGTTATAGTGAACTTTTTTTTTCTTCTAAAATGGAGACTCAGGGAACTCCATGCCACCAAGTTTCAGCCTTATACGTTTCCCCTTTTTGATTTAGCGTCAGTCAGCCACGATCGTCTATACGTATTAGAAATGTAGACTTTTTTAATTATGCAGCTATCCATCAGGTACTTATTTGCTAAGTTTTTTAACTTTCATGCACCCTCTGTTTTGCTGGATCAGAAAATTCGGGAAAATACGCCTTTTGCAAAATATGTGCCCTGAGCCGCTTTAACCAAAAAGTACAATACTTTTCTTACTGAAATTTATCCGCAGTGAAATACATGCCCACAACGTTTCAATATTATACATTTGCC